GAAAGGAGTCGCCATTCTCTGGGGGCTGCTGCAGAATACCAAAGGAGCGCAGGCCCATGCTGCTCTAATTAAAACTTAGTTTAATTAAAAACCTTGAGTGCTTTATTAGACTGGGTAATTGATTTAATTTTCTGGCAGAATTCTATTACAAAACACTTGCAGCCACTGGCTCCTGCTCCAGGACAAGTCCCCGAGCCCTGGGCACTGGTGAGACCTGAGGGCTCTTCCAGCCACCACGAAGCTCRCCCCATTTCACTGCATTTCACCCAGCCTGAGTGTATTTCTGGGGCAGAAAGTGGGGAAAAGCTCTGCAAATTGCCCCAAAAGCGGATGCTCCACCAAGAGGCCAGCCATGAARGCTTCCTGGCCAGGGCACAAGGAATCAAACTGCAAAATAAGAATAATAAAAAAGCCCGGCACACAATGATTGTCTGATCTATATTTATTTCATAACATCTAGAATTAATAGGATACAGGACTTAAAGCAACCATGGCAACTGAATGCAGAAAGGGCTGTCCTTGTAAATAAATGAATTCATAAATAACTCACAAGTGCTGATATAAAAAGTCATGGGAATCTAATGCAATGCTAATGCAATTCAAGCCTTCCCTTTTTTTTCCAGGCAGTATTAGAATATGAGGTGCACCGTGCTTTGCTCCGCGCTACAAGTGTCAGTCTTAAGATAATAGAACTTGCTAATTGGAGCTGGAGCCCGGCAGTGATTGATGAGGCTGTCGGGGTTTTGTCTCCTCCCTGCTCTTGATGGCAAAATGCTGCAGAGTTTCGGGAGGATCGGGAAGTTATGGGGAACCCGAGACTGGGGAAACGGCATGCTCATTCCAGGGAGCTTTTCTGGTTCATGCTCCCTCACGGTGCTGATTTTTGCAGGTTTTGCAGGATTTTTTCAGGGAGGTATTTCCCCACTCCCTACATTGATAGGATGATATTCCTGGTTGGCAGAGGTGCAGCACTGCTGCATTCCCCAGTTTGCATGTAACTAGGGAAAGGGGGATAGTGCCCAGATCCATGGAGAAAGCAGCTCGAAGGGAGCGCAAGGGCTTTCCCTTGGCGTGCAAACAGACACTGCTATTACACGTGGATGCGTCTGTGGACGTTTCATCCTATAGCTCCTCTGCTTCCTTCTGTGGTCGCTTTTGTGTCTCCAGACTTGGCTGCTGAAGCGAYGCTGACGTGATGCCACCCTGCTCGTGGCGCTAGGAACTGTGCGCACGAGCAGCGCGGGGACGTGCGGGTGCCAGGGCTCTCTCYGCAGCTCCTGCCCTCCCCCAGCCCTGTTCCCTCTCCCCGGCACGTCCGCCGGAGCATCCCGGCCTGGCATCCCCGGACAGGAGCCCCGCGGGGTGACGCCGCACGGCGCCCACGGGCCGGCCTGGTCCCCACGGCCCTGGTGGCTCCTTCCAGCCCACGGCACCGGTGCTTGGGTGCAGCTCCCACCACCTGCATTGGAGACACAATATGCCCCGCTGCAGGCTTCACGGTGGCATTTATTCTCCTAATTTTTTCCCCTGTTTTTTTCTTTTTTTAACAACCTTATGGGAAGCTGCTTGGCAAGATCCCGCCTGTGTTTTGAGCGCAGCGCGGYGGATTCGTGATGCACTGAACCCCCTAGTGCCGAAAGCGCTGCCATGGCACCGCATCCCGGCAAGCGGCTTCCCTGGTGGAACTCCAGAAATATGGAGCAGGTCGGGAAACACCCTGCTGTGCCACGCAGAGCAAATCCTGCAGACCTCTCCCTCTCGCCTTGCACTAACCCCAGATCATTTATTACTTTAGGAACTGCACACTGCTCTTCTACTGCACAAGCCCCATTTAAAATAGAGATTTAATTTAAAATAGAGAAATTTAAAATAGAGAAGCRTTACAGGAGCAGCAGGAAAAACACAGTCCACTCTGGCTGTGCTGCAGCCCTGCCAGCTGTGTCCGTGCTGCTGTGCCCACATGTGCAGCGACATTGCTTGTGTGTATATATATATAACATATATATTTAATTGGACTTATTTACTGCATTGTATTATTTACCCCATGCACATCTCTTCCTACTGATTAGAACTGACCTTTAAGCTAAGAGATGAGGTTTGGAAAGAAATAATAATGAAAAATTATCTCACGGGCTTTTACATTTTAGATTTGCAGAGAGGATTAATTACATTGAAAATTTAAGACCCAGACTTGACCCTAAATCTCCTTAAAAGAAATAGGTAAGAATTAATTGCTCAATTTGTTGTAATTCAGCTTTATAAACTGTGGCTCTGCAAAACCCAATGGATGTTGCACAGGCCTCTGTTGGGTTTGAACGGTGTTTTGGATACTAGTGGTAGCCACTTTGAAAATAGCATGTTATTAAATTTATTATCTTTAAGAGCTTTAGAATTATGGCTTCCTATATGGCTGCAGAGTTACTGTTCTAGTAGGTGTTTCTGGTTCACTGAAAGAACCTTGTTAGCTACTTTTCTGGATATATTTTTTTTCAGCACATATATGTGTTATTTATTGATTTCTGCTAGTGCCCAAGTAGTGCTAGGGGCTGTACATTTATAAAGTGCAAACCCATCCCAAGCGAGATGGCAAAAATGGTAAGTTAGCCTCTGGAAGCTGCATGTTGGTGAGAGAGAGGAAGCAAGGAAAAGTTAGTCTTGCAATAATGCCTTAATTCCCATAACAGCTATGTGAGCATTTTTATTTCTTCTGAAACAAATGCAGAAAGGTTAAAGACTTAATGAAGTCTGTTTTTCACAGATGTGGTATTTCAGAGGGCTAGATACCTCATAGCTTCCTTCACCTGAGCCTGTAAGCAAGAGCCTCCCCAAACAGCCATCTGTAAGACYCTGCCTTCACCTACCAAAATCAGATGTTTAACTCTTTGCAGGGATCGGTATTGAAAGCTTTATCCATCTAACAGGGGTCMGGCCCGTTCACTGTGAGTGCAGACCCATCCTAAGTACAAAAGGATTGAACCAAAGAACATCTGGATATTACAGACTCGTTACGCTGACTTCAGCCTCAAGGACTAAGGCCAAAGTGTGAATCGGTGCCAGAACACAGGATTGGAATTTGCAATCCCACAAAATCAGTGAAACAAACAAACAAACAAACAAATGCAGAGTATTCCCCAGCAGAGAACTGTTTCACTTTTTAATTCATGCCGTATTGAAATGAGATGGTTACTACATGGGTTAAGATGAAAGTCATGCATCCAAACAAGCTCTCTCCATGACCTGCATTCCAATTCTGCAGCGGGAAAAATCTCCAAACCCTTCCCTAGCCACCCAAWTGGGAATAAAAATATATGTTTCCATTATAAAATGATTGTGACAACTCAGCTGTTAATTTTTCGCCCCCAGCTTGGGAAGCATTTCTTGTGTTCTTGTCTCAACACATCACCTTAGCATCCCCTCATGTGCAGCACCATAGTAATTCATCATTACCCCGTCTCCAAATTATTCTAGTGTTGATTAAATTAGTAAATGCAATCACAATCTGAAGCAAGTTAATTGAGAGAATTTATTTGGCCCTGACAGTTTTATGCATGTTTGATTAAGTATTATAAGGTTTGTTTTTGATTTTGCATAATTTAACTTTAAATCCTGCACTGGGGGGCCCATCAACTATTAATGACCAAAATAAACTCTTTTAAGATGCATATATTTATGATTTATTTCTAAATGCAATATCTTCCAGATTTTTTTTATTCTCTTGCCAAAGTGACAAATACGTTTAAAGCAATATTTTGAGCCACTCGGTTTATGCCATAAATCTCCTGAAATGCATACAATTCATTAAAAGTTTTGAAAGAAGTACAAGTTAGCATTTACATTGCAACAAGTGACATATAAATGTGCATGTTTGTCTTCGAAGCGCGCCATAAAACACAGCAGCCCTCGCYGGCTGCTGTGACGAGTACTAATGGCCCGCTCTCCGGGCTGATGATAAGTTTCGCCACAAATCCTCCACGCTGTCAGCACAGAACTGTTCAATCAACAGGAATATGAGTTGTGTCTTTAGCAAAATTAGCAGGGGAGAGAAACGCACGGCGGGCGCGTGGGCGGCTTCCCTGCCGACACGGGGCCCTTAGGGCTCCTCTCCCTCCCAATGTCACGGCTGCAGTTCACGGCCAACCAGAGAACAGGGTATTTATTTATTTTTGCCCTTTTTTGCAGCAAAGTGCTAAAGTATTTCAGGTGGAAGAGGGAATGCTGCCRTTGGGGAGTTTTGTCTCTCTAGACCTAAGAAATTGCAGTTGTTTGTTGGCTCCGCGCCACGCATGCGTGAAAATATTGAATAACTGCCCTGCCTGCAGCTGTCATTTAGTATTATTTTTTAATATTATTTTTTCACTGTGGCAAGTGGGGTAGGGGGCGATAACTTTGTATTCCTGCCATGAGGGAAAGTAACTGTTAATCAAAGCTAAGAGAGAATGACAGGAAGGCGGTTTTGATCATTTCTTTTTTATTTTTTCTTCCCCTTTTGTATCACTTCTGATTTTTCTTCCTTTTTTATACATGAACTGGGGTCCATGGGAGCCAGGCCGCGCCGGGTCCGAGTGACTCGTCACCTCCAGGCATCTTTGCCTCCTCGGGGCAGTTTACAACCCGTTCACCATCTCTGGGTTTGTCGCCCCACATTGTGCAGCACCATGGGGCTCGGCTTGCCGCACTGGTGCGGGATGGGGTGGCTGAAATCCCCGCGCTCGGTGCTGCCCACGGGAGGCCACGAACGGCGGCAATGGCCGCKCGGGCGACACCCGCCATGGCGGCCAGGCCGCGCCGCCATGATGGAACCCGCGCGTCGCCTAGCAACGCGCCCTCTTCCCTCCCGCTTCCGCCCGCCGGGGGGCGGCGCTGCGCGATGACGCCATCAGCGTGCGCCGCGGCGGCCGCTCCCTGCGCCGCTGCCGCCGCCGCCACGGGAGCGCCGCCGGTCCCGCGCATGCGCGTTGCGGCGCCCGCCCGCAGGCCCGGGCCCTCCATCCGCCCGGGCCCGGCGCGCCCGGCTCGGCGGCCGCCGGGGGCCATGGGCGCCACGGTGAGTGCGGGGAGCGGGGGCGGCCGGGCCTCGCCTGAGCGCAGCCCCGGTATCCCGGGGCCTCCGTGTCCCAGCGCTTCCGGGGCCTCCAGGCCCGGTCCGTCCCGGTGTCCGCGTCGATCCGGGCTCAGCGCAGCCCTGGGGCTTGTCCCGTTACCGGGACATCAGTAGCGCTTCACAACACGTCCCTGAGTCCCTATTTTTTATTATTTTCGGGGGCATCTCCCTGCATCCCGCCCTGCCGTGCCGGGTAGCAGCGGTGACGGTACCGTCCGCCAGGCCCGGCCACGGCAGCCGGGCCTTGTCCCGGGCGGCCTCCGTGCTCCCCGCGTCCTGCCCCGCTCCCGCGGGCCGCGCAGCGTTTTAGGGTCTGTGGGATGYCGGAGGGCTTGGAGCTTCCCCTCCTCCCGCTGCTGCCCGTTCTGCTCCATCCGCGCTCCGCTCTGCCTGGCGTGGCCCTCCCGGGGGCTCCGGGCCGCGTTGTGCCCCAGCGTTGCCGCCGCCGCCGTGTCCTCCCTGCACCACCAGTTATCCGTGTGCTGTGCCGGGCGGGAGGGAAGGCCCTTGGGCAGCCTTCCCRTCCTGCGGGACACGTGCAGAGCAGAGGAGGCGGAAACCTGCCAAAAATGAACCTGGCTCCCCCACGAGACCCTCGTTAAGGGGCCCGCGATGCTCCGTGTGAGAGCAGCGCGCGGGGATCTGTAGGGCCGGGTCTAAAACAGGCCCCATTCAGCCTTCATCCTCACTAATGTTCTTCCAAAAAAGAAAGGCCTAAAAGACCTTTGGGAGCAGGTGCCCAACTCCGTTTCTAGGCATTGTGAGCCAATATGCAGATTTCGGGGCTGACCATCAAGTATTCTGTTTTAAAAGCATTGGCTGTGTGTGTGCTCTCTCCCTTGTGTTTGTTTCCCCTTAATGAGCAGTGGAGGTTCTCTAATTAAAGTAAGTGACTGGCATGAGTTCTTTATATGTATTTTATTTCCTTACCTCTTAGTATATGGCATGGAGTACAAGCTAGCTGAGCTTCTGGCATGCATCAGTAAAATGTAAATGTATGTTTGAACATAAAATGTATGAATGTTTGATTGTCTTTTGAAATTTTAATGGGATTAGAAGTTCATGCTTGGGAAGGATTCTTGTAAGTTTGAACTTTATGGTGAATAGAATTAGCAAATTGAAATGTAATCTCTCATTTTATTCTTTAGATCAACTCATGCCTAGAATGTTGTGAGTCTATGAAGCACCTTAGCAATCTCTTTCACTCTTCCTAGAAGGCCGCGTGTCACAGGAAAACGTCACGTTTCTGTTATTACAAGAATTAAGTGGCATCCTGAAAAAAGAGCGGAAAACCGACCTGCTGAGTGGATGGCAGCACCATTAAAAATGTAATATTTCAGATTTCTCCCTTAAATTCTCACAATGTCCCTGTGTTTGTGGCTGTTGCAGTGTTGGTATCTGAGCATAAGCCTACAAAGGCTGTTTGTTTTTATGACAGGCACACTGAAAGGGAGCAATCTGCTGCTGGTTGCCAAAGATAAGCCTCCTCGGCTGAGCTGTTGGAGCAGTTCTGTCCCATTCACCTGTTAATGATCTTGTCAGGATTACCCCTCCTCATTACAAAAAGGCAGAGGTTTGAAGCCAGAGTCTTGGGGTTTTTTTGCCCCAGCAAACTGCAGCTTGTGGGCAAAGCAGCTTCACCTGTGGGGCTTGTGCTCTGCTGCTCAGGTCAAGAGGAGGATGCAAGACATAGTGATAACATATGTTATATATAACACATAAGATATGTTACAACATATCTCCRTGTTCTGTTAAAAGAGGTTGTACAGACTGGCTGTAGCATGAGAAGTGAAAGGCTGTAAATTCAGGCTATAAATTTTAGCTTAATTTACCAATTTATTCCCCCTAAAATAACTCTGAAGATCAACACTGCTTGGTACATGGCCAGCATGATCAGACTCAACCTTTAGACGCAAAACTGTCTGGGTTTCATGTAGTGTTGGTTTAGTATCTAACCACTTTGTATGTCTTGAAAAATATTATTCTTCTGAACTGCGTAATATTTCCTCTTTTTAGACAGGAAATGCTGAGAAAGAGGCATGCAAATTTGTGAGAGGGAGCTTTGTTAGTTGAGAACAGGTCTCAGTTTCTTATAGTCCTTAATTGTGAGTTCACTCCTGCTCCTTTTTATTAGTTTCTGATTTGAAAAGAGCAAACAGATCATAGACAAAATTCCTATTCTGAAGAAAAGGAATTAGAATCTGGGGCCGTACAGAAGAGGTCAGAATGGTTATTTCCAGTTACTGAAAAAGGTTGAGGCAGGTAGCAGTGAAAAGACTTATTCAGGGACACAAATTGTATCAGAAAAGGTGTTTGATACTCAAATATAATTTCCTGTAGCCTTATAGTTTACTCTGTAAATAGCTTTAGGTAGTAACAAAGTCAAAAATACTGAAGTTAGTGTTAAAATATACTCAGGACGTTTCAATAGCAGTAGTGTTTCTTGCTTAGCAGAGGGAAGATCTGCCCAGGTCTGAGCAGCCGGGTGTGCGAGGAGGCTGGGGAAGTCCCTGTTGKTTTCTGGCATTATCTGATGACTGTATTGTCATTTCATAATTCCCGGAATTTGGCACATTATAAGCCTGGGGTGAAGCAGAGAGCAACTAACAGGCTGCTGCTCATCACTGTCAGATCACAACAATGGGTACGCGGAAGGATGTTAAGATTATAAATCCTAAACACTCCAGAAGATCAAGATACTTCATTTATCTCTGTAGGTCACAAAGGGAGAAATAAAATGGTAGATATCTTTGAAATACTCTTTGCATTTGGATGCAATGCTTGCAAGACTGCAAGACTCAGCTGAGCCAGGGGAGGTACATCCCGTGGAGTGCGAAAAACATTATTGCCTCATTGTTCTTTCAAAACCTTCCATTATTTTCAGTTTATTTGGTGAAGCTTTGCCAAGTTTTGAAGTGAGCAGCAGTTTAGAAACACCACCGTGTCTGGCCTGTAGAATTCCTTTGCAAAAGCGCTTGGATTTTTGCAGCTCTGTCTCCTGTTTGAGTGAGGAGGCCCTCTGAATTAGTAGGGATAATTCTAGAACGAAGTTCTTGCTTTTCTTCCATTAATGGTATATGRGTTAGCAGGTTGTGAATAGCTCTGGAGTTGGTTTTTAACAGGGCATTCTTTGGATTCTGGTGTAGTGAGGATGGGGAAAAAAATGTGTTTCTACCTATATTCCTGGTAAATAGTTTTGTAAGGAGAGTTGAGTTGAGTTCTGTGAAGCAGCTGTGAGTAGCCACTGAGCTGTAGAGCGTCCACCCTTCTTCTGTATCTCCCCACTGGTGCTACTTAAATGTGTTTCCCATCTCTGCCTTCCTGCAGGTCTCTTCCTTCCTGGAAATYCAGCAGCCAGCTAGCGCTCCTGGGCTGTCGGATGAGTTCCGTGTTAACGGATGGCATTTGATATGTGCCCTGTAAATCCTGCGCTGGGACTCGGTGAGCGCCGGGCTGCCTGATGCCTGTAATCCCCATTCCCCGGCGGGTCCGCTCCTTCCACGGCCCGCACACGACCTGCCTGCACTCGGCCTGTGGCCCGGTAAGAACCACTCACTTGGTGCGCACCAAGTACAACAACTTTGACATCTATCTCAAATCCCGATGGATGTACGGATTCATTCGTTTCCTGCTGTACTTCAGCTGCAGCCTGTTTACCTCCATCCTCTGGGTGGCACTCTCTATCTTGTTTTGCCTTCAGTACCTTGGCATCCGGATCTTTCTGCGTTTCCAGTACAAACTCTCCATCATCCTCCTCTTACTGGGGCGAAGGCGCGTAGACTTCAGCCTCATGAATGAACTGCTCATCTACGGGATCCACGTGACCATGCTGCTAGTCGGGGGGCTGGGATGGTGTTTCATGGTATTTGTGGATATGTAAATAAAACCAGCGCATGTGGGCAGAGAAGGTGATTCTTCTAACCCAAAATGTGTGAATATCCTCCTCTCCTTTTTTTATATAAATTAATTTATTTATCAGTGCTACTTTTTATTGATAAATCAATGGACATGTCTCTGGAATTTGTATTATTTTTGAGGGWTTAGGTGCCATTTTGGTTATCAAAGTGCAGCGCTCGATTGGGTGGTTTGTTTTCTTTGCACAGCGAAACTTAATAGGAATTTCCTTCAGTCCATAGGAGCCCACCTTGCTGCAGCTCCTATATTCCAGTGGGCTTGAAGAAGGCAGTGATTTATCCAGAGCTTAGAACCCGGATAACTTTGCACCCTCTCCTTTTAACCCATCTTCACACTTTTTCTAAGAACGTTCCTCAATGCTTTAGGCATGTAGCAGTATCCCTCTTCCCAATGCCCTCCCTTTTCTATGTCGTTTGCATTTTRCATATCCTCTATGAAGAATATGGGGCCAAATTCAACCACTTTTTTCCCTGGATTTGTGCAAGACGTGCATCGTAGCCCCTGCATCATTCCCTTTGCTCTGACGTGGCTATACAACTCCGAATGGCTTTGTCCTTTCCAGGCAATTAGTGCTGAGTAATTGAGTTTTGCCCTAACAGAAGCAGCCCGYGGGAGCGATGGGAGCCGAGCTCAGTGTCATGTGCTGCTGAAATTCCCACTCGTAGCAAACAAGTCCTCTTGCCCTGGCGATGATGGGGAGCCCATTGTGGATTTCTGTGACGTGGGGATCTTGGCGTTTGGTTTTGACTCTTTGCTGAATTGATTTGTCCCTGTTTTTCCAGAGTTACTTCGGTCTTGCTGGGCTCTAATAAGACTCTGTTACCTAGGAGAGCTTCCAAGCGGAGCAGAATCTGAAATGACAGTGTGTATTCCTTGGCACTGTAGAAAACACCAGCTCTCCTACCTTCCAGGAATAGGAGCGGGGTCATCAGAGAGCATTACTAATGGCTCAGGGAGAGAGAGTGAAGCATTAGGCTTGGTTTTTACTGATCTTGATCTCAGGCTGTTCCTCTGCAGTCAATTACATAATCTTTCTAAGGAGTTCAGTTTTCCTAAAGTTTTCCTTGATTCTCCTTTCTTTTAATGCAATATTGTCCCTCTCCCCAGGTACTTTAAAGAACTGTGCGCTGAAAAAAAAATATATATATATATACATATATTGTTCAGAATGTTAGGGCCTCTTTTTGCCCTGAAATCACCGATGTTGGTAATTGTGGAGGAATAATGACTCTTGTTACGATTTGTTTGATCCAAGATACAAATGTGCTTCGGTTATTGGGTGCTAGCAGCCCCTGCAGCGGCGCTTCGCGGCGCTTCACTGCTCGGGCTTCCTGTCACTCTTCTGCATCCAGATTCAGTCGTGCATACCAAGAAAAATTGTATATCCTCACCACATCAAACAAACAATTCCCAAAGTGTCTACCAAGTCAAAAAGAGGAGAGGAAAAGTTGCTTTGACACTGGAAAGTAATTTCCTCTTTTCTACAAAAACTGCCAAATGCCGACTGTCAGAACGCCTTGAATCTTTACTTGAGTCTGCAATTCCAGATAGATCAGTGGAAAATTAAGTAATTGAGGAGAAGGCCTTGGAGGCCTTAGGAAGTTTAAAATAGTCTCATTCTTGGTCCTCACTAGCACTTGGATCCTTGGTGGTGCTCGGGCGGTGAGATCCTCCCAGCGTAGCAGGGGAAACGAGGTCCCTTTGAAGTCACGCTGGCAGGGAAGAGGAATTAATTATCAAATGATTGGGTTTATGATGTAATAATGCGAACATATTAGATCTACATGACTAGAGCAATGCTTGGCACCTCTCTGCCACTTTTCAGAGCATTTTCCAGCAAGAGCTAATTAATACTCACAGCATTCCCAGGAGATTGCAAAATAAGTAAAGTCTGGGTAATGATTCAGAATTTCAATCCAATGTTTTTAAATTTAACTTCTTTTTCCCTAAGATTTAAGATCACTTTGCCAAAATATTATTTTTCTCAAGCAGTTAAGATTTGAGAGGTTTCTTACAAGCCCAAGGGGAGCCAAACCACAATGGAKGGAAGGAGGGAGAGGCAGAATAAATGTTACATCAAATATGTGCTAAGAATAAGGTGTCTTTTTTCTTCCTGTATACATTTTTTTAATTGAAAAAAAAAAAAGGCATTTTTAATGGGCTGGGATAGAAGCAAGTTTGGCAGAATAGAACAAATAAGAAAACAGGGAATCTTTTCAAGAGTTAAGAATCCAGAAATATTTCATATTAAGCAGGTACTTGCAGACTGTATCCCCTGGGGAAGTTCATTTTCCTTAGGATTTGTTGCTCTTTCCAGGTCCACCGTTGCCTGAGGGGACAGGTCAGGCCCCAACATCTGCTACGACTCTGCTGTCTTATTGTTAAGAAGGCCATAACTTTAAAATCTTTTGAAAAATCCATTTTTAGCATTCTGCCGTGCCGATTCCGCGCTGGACAATGAGAGCAGCTGGTTTGTTCCTTTTCATGGCTTTTTCTTTCTTGCCACTTTAGAGCTTTACGTACTGCAGTTATAGAGTGGGCAGGTTAAAAATGGCCCCAAGAGTCATTAAGAGAAATGCTGGAAAAGCGATTGGGGTGAATGTGTCCGTCCGGGATCCAGGCAGACTCTGGCCTGCCCCTTTGGAGAGCTTCCCCGGCGCCTCTGGCGTGCTCCAAAGCTTCCTGGGCACTTCAGCCACCCCGGAGCTCCGGCTTCGCCTGCCCTTGGGATTGGGGATGACCCTTGTGAGTGGTGGCAAAGCTGCCTTGGCCTGCGTGTGTACGAACAACACTGAAATTCTTGTGTTTCCACGTGAAACAGCTGATGTTTCGGGTGCCTGTTGCGTTCTGTATGAAACACGCCACTTGCATTAAACTTATTTTTTTTAACACGTGGATGGCTTGATTGCTTATGARGAAAAAGCAGCGATTTGGTCGTGTGGTGCTGCGGAATTTCTGACCCGGTAGCCTGGCTCCTCCTCTTCATCTCTCTGCACCGGTGCAAAGAGTTAAGGCCGAGGAGGAGCGGGCCAGCTGTGCTGTGGGCATCAGCGCCAGGTGAGTAAAACCCCTCGGTGGCCTCCTGGAAGGGCCTTTTGGGCCAGAATTACCTGGAACGGCATGGACTCCAGGGCGGGTTTCTGTTTCCTGATCTCTGGATCCAGTAAGTTGGCTCTGTCACCCGTCACACACGTCCGAGTGACTTGAGTTGTTGCTTCCTGCTGAGGTGTCAATTAATTGGTACCATCCGTCTGTCCCGCAGAGCCATACGTTGTTTTAGAGCCCAGTTGTGATGACTTGTCGTCCCCGTGGGGAATAAAGAGGAATATTCCTGCTATGAGGGCCTTTCTGGCTCCCGTTGTTTGTATGTGAAAAGTCCCACAATGATGTGCAGCACCATAAACGCTGCCCAGTGTCTGCTTTCGGGTTTTATCCTGCTCCGCGGTGCTTGGCGAGGCTGGAGCTGCTGGAGGCTGGACAGCTCAGCTGCGGTGGGGTGCAGGAGGGACTCGCTCCTTTCTTCACCTGCCAACTTTCTACATGAATTTTGTCTTCCTGCTCCAAAGCAGCCGTCATGCCCAGAAAATGTCAGTTCAAAGGAAAGTTTTGTCCTGTAACGAGCCAATGGAAGTTGCTGAGCGTGAGATGGGTCCGTGCAGCCGCCAGCCTCGTGCTTGGGCCAGAGCAGGGCTGGCTGCTCGGGCTCTGTCCCGCGCTCCCTGCGCCGTGGCTGGACGTGGGGACGGCGCCGGATCGATTTGAGGCTCATCCATGTTCCTGTTTTTCCTAAGGAGCGTTCGGAGTTAACAGAGGTGGAAGGAGCCCCCAAGCTTTGGTGAGCTGCATTCGGGCAGTATAAATTTGCCTTTTTCTCTTTGGATGATGCTTTGTGTGAATGGCKTTTTGGGTAGAACCTCTAGAAGATTAAGGAAAACTAAAAAGAAAAAAGATGCAAACACAAAGCACGGAGAAGAGACCTGGGGCTGGTGCAATGACTTGGTGTTGCATAAAATCTATGCGGTCAGTTGGCTATGGAGCCCGTGCTCCGAAATGAGGGATTTTCCCCTAAATGTGGGAGCGGGCACCTGCGCCCCCCTGGCCCGTGCACCGGGAGGGCCCTGTCACCTTGGAGCCCCAGGCCCGTAGTAAATCCGAGCCTCTCGCACACCCCAAAGGCAGCTTTCCCCTGCATGGAAAATACCATATAAAACACCAAGAGACAAATACCAAACTCCTTAGCTGGTTCTTATAAGAAAATAAATCTCCCGTTGGCCCTAGCGAGAGTTTTGCCTGAGTAAGGTCGTCAAGATTGTGCATGCTAATTAAATGAACCACCCATCCCTTCAGCTTCTCCTCTCTGCTGGGAATTCCCCACTGAGTAATTTGCTCCCAGTGAGGAAAGGAGTTGCATGAAGAATTTCCCAGATGGTCAATCCGTTAGAGAAAATCACAATCTGTTTGTGGCTTTTGCAAAAAAAAAAAGAGCACAGGAGACACTGTGCAATAAATTTGTTGTTGCAAACCATTTGCTCAGTAATGGGGAGAATTTAGATGGGCAAAGAGCTTTTTTTGGGTTATGTTTGTTTGTTTTTCCATAGGGGTCTTATCTCTGTGTCCCTACGACAGAGCCATGGTTTGAAGAATAAATTGCCCTGGGTGCAGCACAGGCGGTGTCAGCTGGGGGCTGATCCAGCAAAGAGCCCCCTGCAAGAGGGGCCCAGTCTGGCCCAGGTGGAGGAGAGGGTCCAGAGAGGAGATGGAGATCGTCCCGAGGGGATGGAGATCGTCCCGAGGGGAGATGGACCTGAGCGGTGATGGAGACGGTCCCAAGGGGCAATGGAGATGGAGATGGTCCCAAGGGGAGATGGGGTTGGTCTTCAGCTGGGCAAAGGCACCTGCGGTCACTCTACCAGACATGGCCGAGGCCATTGGTGGCCTCATTGCTGYCCCCTTGGCTGCAAGGACGTCCCTGTCCCCATGAGGGACAGGACAGGGACCTGGCACCCGCAAAGGCTGGGACCTCTGCTTCGTCCCTCAGAGCCCCGGCCACTAGAGCTCGGTTTTGCTGCATCATTGGTGTTACCTAGATGCATTCCGCTCAAAATTCGAAATTCATGCAAAGCTCCAAGCCAAGGAAATTCTTTTTTTTTTTTTCATTTAAACTTCAAATGAAAACTGCTTAATAGTTTCTTGGAGTCACATTTGCTTGCAGTTATGTGCAATCGAGATATTGCTGCTTCCTCCTTTGCTGACTGCAAGCTGTCTTGAAGCAAACATGAAGTGGGATTGTGCAACGCGGCGGGGCCGGGGCGAGCGCGGCGCGATGCGCGCAGTTAAAATGCACTGCATTTTGGGCAGCCTGAGATTTTTTTAGCAGAACAGGTAGAAATTGTTGAATATACATGGATTTAGTCATAGAATGTCCTTGTAATTATGTGATCTTTATTGCTACAAATTATATAAATGAATATTCTCTGTTTTCACAGGTTTGGTTTAGGAGAGTTCTGTCCTTCAGGACTGGAGTACCATGCTGAGCTTTGAGGACCGAGGGTGAGTTACGGGGGGACTTGCACAGCAGCTTCTTTTGCTCTGGCCTTTCCTAACGAACCAGGCTGCTAGTGCTGACATGACAACACATTTCCCATTTACTGTTCACCGGAGCATCGGTTGTGACAAATAAACAGGAGAAGGCAGCGTTTCCCTGAAAGCGTTTTATGCACTGATTAAGACACAATGCAAAGAGCTCCTCCGGGTGCMTGCGAAGGCTGGGTACCAAAGTAGCTCCTACTACGCTTAAGGAGGCTGCTATTCTAGGCTTAGCGGCGCTAGCCGGGTTTGAACTGCAGCCGTGGCATTAAGCAAAGTGCTTCTGAAATGTGGCTGTCCAAAGCCAGTGGGACRCGCTTTTCTTTGCACTAGCAGGGGGTCGGTTTCCACCGGGCTTGTTTGAGCAGTGCCTATATTCCCGCATTGTGAAAGCCTTCGGGAAGGGATGAATGTGGTGCCTGGGTCTGACAAAACACGGGGTAATTTTTATGATCAGGAACAACACGATAGCGACGCGCTACAATAAGGGCAAATGAGTTTCGTGCCTCAAAGGCTGCGGCTGCTTACGGAGCGGTTGGGGAGGGACCGATGGCTCTTTTCCCCTTCTTTGGGAATGGGAAGCAGGCTGGAAAGGGCTACGGGGTTATTGGTGCCTTCCTCTGAAGCAGCGAGCATCCGCAATGAACTGAAGCAGAAACCTAGACCTATAACCTGGTTATAGCTCTGGAGGAGCCTCTCGATCTGCTGGAGTCAATGCAAACCCTCCATGCTCTCAGCAAGGTCAGAGACTTGCCTTGCCTTCCTCTCAAACAAAAATGCCTCTTCTGAGTGAAATAAATAACGTGCTGGAACGTGCTGCTGGGCAGGTCGCGTTGCAGCGCGCGCGCGTGCAGGAGAGRTGCATTGACTCGTGCCACTGCGTCGCACAAGAAATGTGAGGCCAAATCCTGAAGTCCCTCATTCTGGGCCCCTGCAGGTTGAGGTTGAATTTGCTGCTGTTTTAGCACGTACTCTACAGTTATGCTTCCACTTTGCATCAGAAATACACGGTGGCATTTGAGAGCAGCGCATTTACGGGACACTCAAGAGGAAAATGATTCTGTGCGTGCTCGTGTTCGGTCGTGGGGTGCAAGGTGCCGCTCCGGAGCAGCACCCAAAATCCAGGARCAGAAGCAGCATTCCCGGAGGTCCGACCCTTCTAAGAAATCACCCCTGGGYGCTTTGTGGTGCCCTTGCAGAGCGCTGGCACATGCTCCGGAGGGCCGGGGGAGGTGGCGCCCGCCTGGAACGTTTGTTCAGCAATTGCTGCAGAGAGAGGAAAACTTGCCTCGATCTGCAGAGATGCCAACTGAATTTTGTTTTGTTTGGGTACTTTGGAGGCAGGCCAAAAGCAGGATGTTGTGAAGCCTTCAGCAGCTACTGCCTGCTTGTTCCATACCAAGCATAACTTTGTATATATTTTTATCGGCAAACTCGGTCCCACGCATCTTGCTGTGCAAACAAGAGCCCTGGCTGCAGAGCTGCTCTCCCAGAGAGCGCAGCCATTTTCCTTGGCTCTTTTAAGGTGCTTTAAAGTCACAGTTTGGAGAGCTGGCCTGCAAAGGGGGTCTCTTTTTCCCTGCCAGCTGCTAGGACTAGCAAGGGGTTAATCTGCCTAGAGAGGGAAGGAAAAACAAGTTGGGTACCAACTGGGTGCTGCTTCTCAGTACGGGGAGGTTTTGGTGCAGGAGGTATCTGAGAAGCATCTTGCAAATCCGGGTGCATTTGGGCACTATAAGCAGCCTGCATTGGCACAGGCACAGAGTTTGGGTCACCCTGGACCTGTGTCCTGCA